TACATTTCCTTAGAGCGGCTGGCTCCTGGGGGCTGAGCTCTGTTTTGGCCTGTTCATTACACGAATCCGGAAGAAGCTGTTAACAACGGTTTGCTTCAGGTTCACTCTTCAATTGCAAGTGAAAGTTTCTTCTCTTTCTAAAACCTCTTACTACTAATTACGCCCTCTCGAGTTATTGATAGTGAATTTAGGAAAAGCTAAAAAAGTCTGGTGATTAATCAGAAGAGAAGTCAAGGAAAAGAAGGGCTGGGAATCAGGATACTTTCCCCCCCCCCACCACTCTGTGATAAGCACCGGTGATTTCCTTTGGGCACATCACCAAGTCCAAATTTGTCAAGACTGTTCATTAAACCAGGAAAACAAGGACTCTGAGAGGCAGGGATGCTTAGCATTCCCTAAAAATGGGATAAAATGAGGAGAATCATACCATGTTTGCCTTTTTTCCCTGCTTCAATAAACAAAGCGGCTCTCCTATTTATTGTGCTCACTCATAAACTCAGAGAAAAATAACGCTTCTCTCTACTGAGCTTGACTCCTTCGTTTTGGCAGACATGGTAATTGAGGGTTTGTGATCCCCTAAGCCTTTTTTTTTTTTTTTTTTTTTTTTCTTAGTGAAGACCAAAAGAAATCCAGCTTTTTCATATACTGTTACTTCACAGGAGAGTGTTTTCCTAGAAAATGCAAACAGAAATGGAATTTGGTGGCACAAAAGGGAAAGGGAGAAAAACTTTCGCACACAAAATGTTTCTCTTCTCAGTTTCAACTGCTCCAGTAAATTACTGAGTCACTAAGTGCAGATAGAATAATGGTAAGGAAATATTCTAATTAATTTCTTTAAAAAAAAATTACATCTGCTGAGTTGTCATTCAGGAATCTTTCACTCTCATTACACAAGAGCTATGCTGTTATTCTACTGCCTAATCAGGTTAACTTAATATGGTTTTTACAAAGTGATCTTCATGGCTGTGCAGCACAGCCTTCTTCCTCTCTTTCATCACAATATTAAACAATCCTTCATCTCCTCTTTTTTCCTGTATGAAATTACATAATTTCCCCCCTCCAAGCAAGAACCTTGTACTATATTTCCATTGAGCATGCTTCCAATTTTTGGAAAGTGAGCTACAAACATCTTCTCAAATAGTACTATTGTGAACGATCTTCAGATCCCTAAGCAAGATGCAAGTTGTAAGCTTACAACTCCATCAGCAAGGAAAGATTCAACTGGCATAAACCCAAAATACATAGAAATTCTGATTGACGTTCCCATTCTGCCATGATTGTGCTAAACTCAGGAAAGAAAAAACAGTTTATACTTGATAGGATGATGTCCCCAGGAATTTCTTCCAACAAAAGCCAAAACATAAGCAAAATGCAGAAAGTCCATCTATAGCAATGTTTTAAAAAAACATGCAGCTTTGGTTAGAGAGCTAAACTTTACTGAAATTTACTGGCTTTTGCTGGTTTGCATCAACACTTGCACACAGAAAATGAAATGTTACTGATTGAAGAAAATGCAAATGTTATGGCCATTTGCCTGAATTTATGCATTTATTTCGACAAGGTAAAAAAAAAAAAAAACCCAAAAAATTTTTTTTAAAAGAACTTCTACCCTATCAAACCCATGTTGTTTGCTACACTTTTGTTAGTTTTATAGTAACTTCATCAAGCAAATAATATTTTCCCGCATAGACAGACATAGAATTATGGAGATTAACAATCAAAAGTTCCCCATATGAAATGATCAGGTCCTCAAAAGTGCACAGCTCCCATCAGAGCTCTTACAACAGTCAGTATGAATTTCAAAAGTGTTCAGTAATAGGGAGGAATTTTCAAACCTCTCTGGGTAATTTAGATGCATTAGTCTCATTGAAAGTTAATGAGCCGTGTGCTGCTCAGGCTTTTGGGTGCTTTGCAGAAAACACACGTTACGACTGGTATCCATGGCAAAAATTGTGGGCATTTTTTAATTTGATCTTATGCTGTTGAGGCTAAAGTCTGCTCTTCGCTACAGATGTGTAGCTTCTCCTTATGGTGTATTTATCTGTCCAACGAAGCAATAGCTCCCCTCGCTCTGCTCTTTTGAAAGTCTGTCAACACAGAGCATCTGACTGCAGCTGTGCAAAGAGCTGCGTATCCTGGCCTCTAGCCCCTAGGACAGTCCCAATCCTCCATGCAGCTAAGCTGTGCGAAGCCTGCTGCTGACGAGTTCTGCTGCATCTTGTACAGAAAGGAATAATCCACGTGGCTACGGGAGTTACTGAGTCACTATAGTCACTGCACTAGGATGTTAACTCTGGTACCTAACTGTAAACAGAGGAAGAGCAAGACTCTTAAAGTCTCTCCCTAGTTATCTATGCATCCCATCATTCTAGATGCTAGAAGAGTACAAGTTGCACAGGATGTTTTGCTCTTTACCGTAGCCTCTCTGAATTCATTTTTAAAAGATTAATAAGGAGATGCCACTTCAGGACTAATTAAGCAAAGGTTAAATATATTACTGAGCAAGAAAGTGAGCAAGCAAGACTCATGATTTACAATGCCTGTGTGACATTTGGTGTTCCCTTAGCACTGAAAAACACATTAGGATGTCAGGAGAGAATCATTCAGCTTTGCTGCCCATTAAATCTGATCTTAGAGTAACCAATCTAATCATAATTATCTTCCAAGAGCATTATATTAAAGTTGAAGAAGAGAAAGATACCTCTGTATTTTATATCATGTATATGAAAAATAAAATAGCGAAGCAAAACAAAGCTGCTATTAAAACCCACAACAGGTATTCCTTTCTTAAGGCTGAAAGGAATGTGAGGTCTGCTTTCATATGAATTGCTGACTTCATGCAGGTTCAGCACCACAGAGGGTTTACCAGGAGCCGGTGGCAAAAGCGTTCATAGCCTAAAGGAAAGGAAAAGAGGTTCACCCCTCATGGCAAAGGTCAGATTTCTGCAGGCTCATAGCCTGTCCATATACATGAGTGTTCGTGGGACATCTTTGTCTAGTGAGGTCTCATGAGGATGACACAGGCTCCACAATGTCCCTTCTGCCTGAAGGATGGCCCTATAACCACCCAGATCAGTTTAGGGTCATTTGACTTGTGTCGGTCTGGTTCCTGTTGCTTTTACTCTCAACCTGATGAACAATCATTGCAACCTTTGTGGGGATGTTGCTGAAGGCTGGAATTAAACAACTCCGGTATACAGAGAGATCGGATGTGTAAACAGGATATTTAACAGTTGCTATTTTCATGGATGTGGAGAGCTATGGGATATGCTCCCTTCCTAACACACAACATGCTGTACACTTCATTTATATTTGCTTATCAGAATCACTACGTAAATGTCATAGAAACGGTTATGCTAATGACTATATTAGTATTTGTCTATTTATTCTGCAGATATCTTTTCAGAGAGTCATCATGTCCTTTGTTCAATTCTGGAACTGATGCATTGCATGCCCAAATATTTGGAATAACATATAGAAAACATCTGGATTTAATTATATTATAGTCCTCTTATGCAGACAATGGGAATTGAATTAAGGAATATTTTGAAACCCCCACAGAGATATAAAAGTATTAGCAGCTGCACGAGAACTTTACTGTTACAATGTTTGAAAATGTTTTGTTTTACAGATCAACAGTCTGACACATCATAAATATCGATTGTAACGTTTAAGACATATAAGCATGGAAGAAAAATTAAAACCTGCTTTTCAAAAACATTTAGATGAATCCACAGCATTTATAAGATGCAGAGAGTATCCTTTTGTTTAAAAAATGAAAATGCATATTCTATTGGCACAGAAAATCTATGTTGTACAGTGGTACTAAGGAGAGAACCACATAAGGGCTTATTGTGACTGAATAGCTGAACAGGATTTTACAGAATCTTGTTATATTGCCACCATATTGTACAAAGAATAATTCAGCTAGAATAAATTAGCATTTTGCTTTTCATGCTTTCATTCCTTTGAAAATATTTGGGGATATAATATGAGTTAGAGACTCTGCCCCAAAGTATTAGATACAGACTGGATTTTCTCTCTGAATGTATGCAGGTTCCAAATGCCACTTCTTTTCAAGTCAGTACCAGTTTTGCAGTCAGTTTTCAATCTCCCAGTGGCTAAATCACATTCAAAGGCTGTTAGCACAGTAGGGGGTCAGACTTTCTCTCTGAATGTAACTATATCACTCAACAGCAGACTCATGCAATAAGCGATCTAATGTTTTCTTTTCTTTTTTCCCCCCCTCCTCTTAGTGTCTCCCTGCATTCCTGGATACCGGTCACTGCACCAAGGACCGGAGGCAACAGCCACATGGACTCCACCACCATACTTCTAGCTTTCTCTATGGTGCAGAAAAAGTCAAGCCTACAGTTCACCTGCTGTCAAGACAAAAGGTTCAGTTGGTAAATCCTCTGAAACATTCTGAAGCGTTCAAATGAACATTCTTTTGTACAATATTACACATTCCTATGTGTAAAAAGCACACACAAAAATGTGTGTGTGTATGTGTGTGCATGCACATGTGCATACAAACTTTGACAACCAATGACACAAAATGTAATATTAATCCAATTCCTCCTCTTTCCATGAATTCCCCTCAAAATGCCCTGAAAAACACTGTCTCAAGGCAGCATACCATCTGAAGACAGATACTGTACCTATCATGCAAAAGACAGCGAGCCATTAAACCCAGAATTAATATTGAGACAGAGAAAATAAGGCCATAAAAGACCTGTGAGATGGTGCTCTGTTTAGAAACTAAATTAATCAGGACTGGAGCTTGCACTAGCCGTTAGCATTGGGAAACACCGACTCTTGATACCATGTGGTCAGTCCACCCTTGTAAAGATGCAGTCAGGATCTTTGAACTTACCCATAGTATCATCCTGAACAGGCTTTGTGGATTATTATATACGCCTTGGGGATGGACAGCCTGGTTAAAGTAAAGGGTGGGAGAATTGCTGGGTAAGGGTCTCGAACAAACTACGCTAACTCACCCGTTTTACGAAGTGGAAAATCATCCTTGGCATCCTGTGCTCCTGGTAGAGTGTATTTGTACGGTGGCGAGGCCCCACTCAGGGGTGGAGAGCTTTGATCCAGTGAGGTATGGTGGGCAGCCCTGCAGCAGACACAGAGAGGTCACAAATTAGCAGTCACTGAGGTGACCAGCAGTAACTATCTACACATGTTGTACACATGTCTCAGCTGTGTTTATGTTCTTGTTCGTCTAAGTGCACACAAACCACAGGCTCGTGTAACTAATTTCACTTTTACAGTAAGTTATGGAACTCCTCGGGATTCCCAAGAATGCGCGTTTTGCACTCATTAAAAAAGTCACATAGGATAAGAGTCATGTTGACCTACAGACAGGATCTGTCGCCAGTTTGAGGAATTGACCGTTTTAGATTGTTGCATTTTAATATGAACCAGCTGAGGCACAGCAAAAGCCATTTAAGTCTTGTTTATCACATACAAATAGATGTACATTGATCCAGCCTCTTCTCTCAAAATGAGGGGGATTTTCAGAGCGGGGCGGGGGTGGGCTTGTATAAAACTAACCTAAAATATTGAGTTATTATTATCCATTGAAAAAAAAAAGGCAAACTAGTTAGTGGACAAGGTAGATAAAATGTCGCATTTAAGTTCAGTTTGTAAGTTTTGTGAGCACACCACCCTGCAGCACATAGCACCCACATCAGCGGAGAAGCCACATCAGTGGAGAAGCTCCGAGCTGAAGAGTGCTTTCTGACAACTGCTGGATGAAAGAAACTGTGTGGGCAGATCTTTCTGAACACAGAAACTGCAAATTGCAAAGAAATTGCATCATTTGGCCCAGAGACAGGGTTGGTTGTTTTGGTTTTTTTTGTTTGGTTGATTCTTCTATTTAGAGAGGGCGAGAGGGAAAGGAGGGAAACTTTCAAACTTTGTGTTTATCTAAACATAATTTACTTGGCCTTTCAGAATCTCTCCCTAGCCTTCCAGTGTAGTGTAGTTAATCAACAATACGCCTCTGTCAAAAGGGGCGCTACCGTGAGAGAGGGAGCACTGCTTTCCCCAGTGTAGCAGAAGACACCCTCTGCAGAGCTCCTTGCTCTCACTCATCTGAAGACTCAGAACTAAGCTTGGATTATTAGTCCAGAAATCTTACATACTCAAAAGAATTTTACACATTATTTGGAAAGAAAAAAAAAAGTTCTGCATCTCCACCAGACACAACGTAACTATACATTAAATCATGTTACCACAATGCTCTGATTAGCTCAGAAGGGAAACTCCAAGGGCAGGCCTTCAGTAATTCTTTTTAAAAAGAACAAGCACGAGATGGAAATCTAGTGTACCATATGCATTTCTGTTTGTCCTACTGAAGGTCAATTCGGGCATAACACTGAAGTCTTTCAGAAATGCAGCCAGAGTTCATTTTGTTGGATTGACTTATGTGTCTGTTGTAATAAGGAAGTTAAAAAGGAATTAATTAGTTAAAAAAAAAAGCGGAGGGGACAACCAAAACTATAACAACTGAAACTGTAAACTCTTAAAATGTTACTAGGCCCATTACAGGACTCAACAAAATCACTTATGTCAATGTTCTAAAGCAGACTCTTATCAAGGCCATGGCACCATAAGAATATGCAGTTTTGCATACTAAAATCCATCAGAGTAAGAAAAATTAAATGACCACTATCTTTCTCAAAATCCTTGTGAGTTCCTTATACCGTTCAAGTAACTGGAAAGCAGCATCTCTTCAAGAAGAAACAAGTTTTGTGATTGATTCAAAATCCAAGTAGATCAAACATAAAGTTGTTCTAACTGCAAAAATTGAAAAGATTTGGAAAAATGACAGGTGTAGTCGTAAAATTTGTGGTAGCATCAAGAGATGAAGCAGTTGAAATAAAAAGTTAATACAAATTTCTCACAGCATCTTGTTCTCTATAGCTCTCATCTCATCACTGATCACCGAGTGCTCTCCAGTTCAACCAGAAATATTACACTTCTGGCTTTTTGCTAACTTCTTGGTTGAACTTTTGTCTTGTTCTGCAGGCAGACTCTCATACCCCTGCTGGAGAAGCATTCTGGCAAGTTTTAACAGATACCTCAACGAGGCAAGGAAACAGCTTTATACTGAACATACGTGTACCAGAGCTTGGGGTGGCGGCTCATGGAATGATTCTTCCCATTTGCTGGAGAGTCTTTTGTTGCCGATTTACTCAACAGGAACTCTTGAAGTTTCTGCTTCACTTCTGTACTGGCCACTGCCCCTAAGATACACAGAATTAAACACATCTTATCTTTACTTGAAAAATTACATTCTTAAAGAAAACAAAAACCAAAACATAAAAAAGAGCCTGTGTCTTGCTGCTGGAAGTGTTGCAAACTATAAAAAATATTGGTGGAAGTCAGTCAAAATGAGATAACGTTCAGATTGGATGTTTGTCTTTAGAAGACTGAAGTTGGCCATAACCCAAAAATCCAGTGAAGTCATAAGGAATATTTCAACAGTAGATGAGGCCATTTATCCAGGGCCAGATGTATCTATGGAATTTAAATTATTTCCTAATAATTTCCAAATACAAAACCAAGGATGGAACTAAAAAGATAGAGAGAAAAGGTCACTCTGAGTTTGCGGTAAAGAATGTTTTTTCTTTTAGTAAAGTAATAATAATAGCACAGCAAAACTGCCCTCTGAACACTGTCTTGGTTATGAGCAGAATGCTGCAGAAAGAGGCAGCACTGAGCCTTTTTATTCAAGCCACTGAAGAGCCTGTACCTGTGATGTCTGGAAGGCAGACCACAGTCTGAAACATGAGTCTTAGTTGATAACTCTACTCTTACGACACAAAACCAACAGAAAGACCAAAAATGCCAGGAAGTCACAGTGCATTTTGACTTCTCTTGGTGGCCAGCTCAATACAGCACAATCAGTAGGGCACCTCAGTGTCAGGTTAAACTGCCAATTCCTTCTTGCAGCATGGGACATACTCCTTTACTCACAGTCATAACACTCTTCATAAAAAAAAAAAAAAAAAAAAAATGGAAAAGAAAAATCTTCTTTCAGTTTTCCATAAACAGTGACAAAAAAGTGACAAAAAAAAACATTTCTTTGAAAGTAGCAGCACTAAAGCACCCTGATACTCTAAGTATTTGGTTACCCAACCCTGACACAAGGCAGCGAGCTGGTGAGCATGTCTCCATGTGACCCAGTTCCCATAAAATATCTCTACTACCCTTCCACTTTGGACTCTAACTCCCCTCCCCGCACCTTCCTTCCCTCCTCTGCTCATTAAGTAGATCAGCAGCAAATGCTGGGGCTGGGCCCGGGGGCCACACTTGCTGCTTGGCTGGCTGCTACATACTCAACAGCCACCCAGCAAGCCAAGCTGAGAAGGGAAATGCTGACTTCACATCACTGCTCTTCCTTTGGTGGGAGCACTAAGAAACCCAACTGTTTATATGGAGGCTGATTTTTCATACTACTTTCAGGAACTTTTTGTTCCTGCAGTTTCTGCCACCCTCCCACTGCTGGGTCAATAGGCTGGTGATGCTTTCATGGATTCATCATCCACCAAAGTACTGGAAGCGCCATGGACACCTTAATTTCTAAAGCCTACAATATGGTACACCTGCAACTGTTGAGCCAATATATTTTTCCACTCCCCCCCCAAAAAAAGGCAGGAGCATGATGTACAGCAATTTTCTGCTTTGGTCTTTGCCAGTTAATTCTTCTGGTCATTTGGCAGAGCAAGTAACAACATCTACTCGTGGCAGCTTCATTTTGAATACCTTCACAATATACTTCAACCTGATTTTTAAACTGACCTCACTAAGGAGAATTATTTGTATCTGTCTCCCTCTAGTGAGCACCAAATTCCAACAGTATCCTTTATATCTGTCACTTGCCTTAGAGCTCTATATGAGCTAGAAATAATTCTTGGTTGGGCCTCATGAAACGCATCAAGAACAAACACAAGGCAGTCTGAAAAAGTACTAGCGAAAGTATTCAGAAGTGTCAGCTAAAGATATTCTTAAATATTTCATTACATTTTCAACCTTGAAACAATGTTCAAATTAGTTAATCAGTGAGTAATTTGATTTTTTGCTGTTTTGTAGTGCTTTCTGTATTGGGAAATAAGCTCTTTGGAAAAAAGTTCTCAAGTGAAAGATTTAGGCTTTCAAATTCCTGCCTTTTTTATAAGAAGAGCTAAATTCTTGAGAGGCATATACACAGGTCTATCGAGATGTGCTTTCCTTCAAAGCCTGCACTCAAACTGGCAGTGTGCTTCTGTGGGTGCAGCAGGTGGCCCTGCCTTCCTGCAGGCACAGCCTCGACTTCTCTCGTTGCGCATTTCACGCAGTAACAGCCTTGCTTCAGGGTCCTGTTCATCGCCCATTCCGGCTGGGAGAAGGCAAAGGGGAATAGATTAATTTCTTACTAGGATTCACGGTACATTGGCTCTTACTTTCTCGGCTTCTTTCTTTGCCTCGGAGGGGAGGAAGCTGCTGTTCCCTGCGATGCCTCTCCAGCTCCTGCTCCTGTCTCTGCTGCTCCAGTTTCTGCTCTTTTTCAAGGAGTTCTTGCTGTTGTTTAATGGCTAGGAGTTCCTGTTGTAACTTGCACAGAACAAAAAGACATGAGAAAGTGCAGTTTGCACTGTTTTCTAGGTCAATCCTGGATAAAACAACCCCCTTGAATAACTGAGTATCAGCGCTTGCTTTTGTGCTTGTACTTCTTCTCATCTTGTAACCGACTTTCCCCCGTTTTTTAAGCGGGATAGTGTAGAATGAACTCTAATGTCAGGTAGCTGCCTGATGCTCTGGTTTCCCTTCTTTCTCTTTTGGCAAAAATGCCTGGAAACTGCGCAGCACCCAACTCTAGCTGCTGTGCTCCGCTGCATTCGTCAGCTCCATCGAGCAAAGCTTAGCACAGTAGCACAACGGCAAGTAGATCAGAAGGAAAAAATGAAAAGAAAAGCAAGATCATAAATTCCCGGTCAAAATCCATTATAGCAATCCTACCATAGTGCATGTAATCCCATAAATCATTTTCTTTTTACACTACATGAGGCAGCTTAGAGAAGAGTGAAAACGCAACACTTTCAGGGCTTGCCTCTGTTTTACAAATGCAAATATTATGCACTTGCCTATCAATTTGATTTGTGGGCACAAACAGTAGCCAAAAAATGCAGTTTTCTAATATACTCGAAACTACACATATAGAAAAGACAGCCATACTGAAGTCTGGCTGAAAATTCAGCCTTGTAAAATAGGTAGTTTGATTTTCTGTGTATGTGGTAGCTTCATGAGCTTGATGATTCTCATAGGTACTGCCCTGGCCTGCTGTGAGCAGCTCGCTGGTAGGTTCCTGGTAGGTCAAGTTTTGCTTGAAAAGGCTTTTATCACCCAAAACCAGAGAAATAAGCACTCAAACACCATCTCTCCGTCACAGCGAACCTTTCAGGCACGTTCCCTTTTCATGTCTGCCTAAGCATATTCAGTTTGTAGATAAAGTGAGGGATAAATGAAGAATGTTGCTACCTTTATGTGCTCCTGGAGCTGGGCCTGATGCTGGCGGGTCAGGTTTTCATGCTGCTTCTGAAACTCTGCAATCAGCAGTTGTTTCTGAATTTGCTGCTGCTGCTGGATCAGAAGTAGTTCCTGCTGTAGCTGCTTTTCACGCATAATTGGGTCCACCATGGGAACCATCATCCTGAGATCAGTTCGCAAGTCTAATGGTGAGATAGGCTCTAATCCCACGGGAACCTCCGACTTTACATCCACTGTGGGAAGAAAACAACAAAACATATCTATATTAAATATAACTGGAGAAGGAGAACAGAGATCATTCCTACTGGGGAAAAGAGCAATTTCACTCAAAGACTCCTTCAATGTACAGACCTAAAAAACCACTAATGCTATCTATGTTGTATGCAAAGTTCAGACATTCCTACTAGCAACCGGTGATCGTACAAATTACTTTAACACTTCCTTTCCATTCTCTGCAAAAATTCTTGCAGATTAATATTCTGCTAAATAGACTAACAAGCAAGCCAGTTCTAAAACTGTGTTGCAGCCAAATGGAGCAATAAACACCCCGGGTTCTTCCTTAGTGTAAGATGAAGGCCTTCCAGTTCTCACTGCATGGCAAGAGATTTTCCAAAGCTAGCATGTAGGTTTTCTGAGGATGGTGTTACACAGGAACAGCTACCCAGTGCTACACAGCTATTGCATGTAAATATACCTGGCAAACACATAGGAATAACGCATATAAAATTACAGGAAAATAATTTTACACACAAACCGCAAAGTTTCCATACAGCTTTTTGAAAAGTCACAGCCATGCTTGCAGTGGATTAGACATAATATTCTATACATGGCGGGTAAGAAAATGAAAACAACTTGAATTATTCCAATTCGTGCAGCAATGGTATATATTGTTAATCCAGCATTAAAGTACTTAATAAAGAATCCTATGGTCTTCTGTCTCCTTATTTAAATCGAAGGGATGAAAAAGCAGCAGAAAAGATTTGATGATTTTCACTGCAATACTTGCAAAGCTCAGGTTTTCACATTAAGTGAAGAGACAGGGTGTAACTTTATCTGTTCAAAAGAACAAAAAACTAGCAAGTAACATTTCTGCAGAGGGAAAATAAATAGCAGCTGAGGGTCTCTGCTAAGGCTCAGCAGTTCTGATTCCATCCACGAGAGGACGGTGGAACACAAACACATCCACTCCCATTCCTACTGCTCCACTATCTTCACAGGAAAATAAGATTATTAACAGGAAAACAAACATGCTGTCGGAAGTGACTAGGGAACAAGACTTTAAGCATATTTTCTCGTTTTGCCCTGCTACAGCTATATTTGCTTTCAAGGAGAAAACCAAACTGAAACAGAAATATTCTAGCAAGCAGGAGCAGTAAAATTGAAGCAGCAAAAGTTGAAACTGCAACACATGGAGAGAACTGAATTCTAACCGTACAATGAAATCTATTAGTAAAAAGTTTTATAAAGAGAAGAGATGAGGCACCAAATCTTTTCTACTGGTCATATTCTTTTCTCCTCAAAATTCTGGAAACGTACAATTTTCTGAGCCTTTTTAAAAAAAAAAATCATAGTAACTGTGATTGTAAACCTCAGAGCATAATTCGCCTTCTTAACCCGCTATCCCAGCAGAATGACTGCGTCTAAGTGCTTGCTTTTGTTCTGAGACTAATCACTAAATTATAAAAAATCACCTTTAACTTACAAAAACTACTCTTGATTATAAATAATTGCCACAGACCAAGAGAAACGGACAGGCAAACCCCCAGCCTTTCATCCCATTTATTCAGCAGCAATCCACATTCCATTTGTCTAGACTAAATATAGCCACGTTTATACAAGAAATCAATAGTGCTTGCAGAGAGCGGAGCAAAGACATGAATATTTCATCAAACTCGGAGAGAAATGGCAATCAGCACGCTGACAGCAAGCTGCGTAGGCTGACTGCCCCTCCAGATAAGTCTCCGGTACTCGGACAACGGCTCATTGCCTGCAAGTCACAATCTTATCATCAGCGTTCTTCTATTTTTAACATTAATTGCATTGTAGGTGACAAAGGCTTATCATGTTTAAAGTGGAGAGATGGATTTTCTTACATCTTCTGTGACAGGATAATAAGCCTCACTAGGAGCAGTAATGGTAACCGGAGCTCGGCAAACCCCGCAGGGTCTGGTCCGCCAGAGTGTTTGCAAACTGAACCCCGCAGGGTTTGGTTCACAATAGTGTTTGCAAGCTGAACCCTGCAGTTTATTTTGCAGATACTGGCTACAAATCAACCCCTACAGGTCTGCACGGTGATTGAGGCTGATGATACTTCCTACCTCTGCCGAGCACCCCGCTTCTTCATTTGCAAAGCACTTCTCGTGGGGGGAGGCCTCCGGATTTTTCTAACGATGGAAAATTCCTTCCGCTATTAGTAAAATGTACAACTGAAATCAGGGTCGGTTTGATAAGATACAAGTTTTCAAGAATTTTCACACACTCAAATAATAACTCTAGCGCTGGAATATCTACTTCATCAAGTTCAGCTTTACCTCATTCCTTAATCTGTGGGGGAAATGAACATTAAGGTAGTTCTAATGACTTGATTCTATAGAAATCGACACATAATCTTTCATGTCATTTAAATGCCCATGTTTACTGACAAATAAAGACATGCGTTTATTTCCTGGCATAAATATTGCTAACAGTAAGATTACCAACACCACCACTAACAACTGCTGACACAGTGAACACTAACTTTTGGGGGTAATTGCTGTCTTAAATCTGTGATAGCTAACAGTTAGCTGGAATATAGTCAACCTCGTCAACGAAATGATTCTACACAAGTAAGTATAAAATCACCAATCAAACCGAATGGTTTGCGACTGTCTGTTAGGGTGGTCCTAATGCCACAGGCCATTTACATTCTCCATACTTGTTACCAGCTGACAAGAAAGAGACAAAGCAGCCCCGTGGAGCTACATCACGGTGAAAAATGTGTAATGGAGCAGAGAATCAGAATTGGTGTCTTTAAAAGCTTTGACTTTTAACAGAAGCCATCTTCTCCCCCTCCACCCCAATGCAATTTTAAGTCTCAAAGGAGCAAACGTGATGCAGCATGTTTATTCTCATTGGGGCTTTCTGTGTTCGTCCGTCCCCTC